TTCTCTCAAGATTTACATATTCTTTGACTAATTAAGGTTGTGATGTGAAAAGAATATTCAGTTACTTGAATGAAAACAAAAGGTTAAGCTGGAAGATTTCAACGTAATTCTAGAGATGAATCCAATTAATGCGAGCATAATTTGCAAGTGAATTGACGTTATCACGTTATAGTTGCCAACTGCAGATTATACGGATTTGATGGAATAATAAATTATTTCTTGTATACTACACTAGTTAATCATTGATTGTCTTGTCTCTTTTAACTGTTCCATTTGAATTTAGACCTAACTTTCCGGTAAAGTGAAATCACTTTTCTAATTCTGCATGAGGAAATTTTTAGAAAGTGATAAGGTAAATAAAGTACGATTGTATTTTAGATACTATTTGGTTTGATCTAACGAGAGTTCCCGAAAATTGATTAAGTATTATTGATCAACAATTTAACTTTAATTTCTTTCCCTTATATCTTGAAATACTAATATTATTCGTATATTTCTTTGTATGTCAAACAGGAAGCAATATGGATACCCACATAACAAACTTGATCAAATATTGTTTAGTTGATTATGTACAACCAGTACAAATATTCAAAGAGAAGAAATATTCTCTCTTTTCAGTATGTGTTAAGCAGATTTACTCATCAATTCATGGTAGTAAGTAATTCAACTGAAGTCTGGAAGACTACTATACACACTGGCCTTAAGAGGGACAATACCTATATATAGAGAATGCAGATGTTTCTCTAGTCTCAAGAGGAACTTGCTTGAGTTTTAAAGATAATCCCTCAAAATGATATCAATAGTATGAGAACAATAGATAAATAATCTTGAATATCTCATCATTACCAAAAATGTCTCTGGCCAGAAAAGGGCTATTGAGAAGTTCTCATCTTTGTCTTGTGGCCTGTATTGGACAAGAATTAGTGCAATTGAGGCACATTCTATTGTAAACCAAAAGGTTACTGATTCCAATACTTTTGTACTTTGGCATGATCGATTATGACACCCTGGATCAATTATGATGAGACGAATTATAGAAAACTCAAATGGGCATCCATTAAAGAATTTAAAGATTCTTTTAAATGATGAATTTTCTTGCACTTCTTGTTATCAAGGCAAGTTAATTATTAGACCATCACCAACAAAGGTTGGAATTGAGTCCCCTGCGTTTTTGGAACGTATACAAGGGGACATTTGTGGACCTATTCACCCACCTAGTGGGTCGTTTAGATATTTTATGGTATTAATAGACGCATCTTCTAGATGGTCCCATGTGTGCCTATTGTCATCACGCAACCTCGCGTTTGCAAAATTAATGGCACAAATAATTCGATTACGGGCGCAATTCCCCGATAATCCAATTAAGTCTATTAGACTTGATAATGCTGCTGAGTTTTCATCCCAAGCATTTAATGATTATTGCTTATCAATTGGGATAAAAGTGGAACATCCTGTAGCTCATGTTCACACTCAAAATGGCCTTGCAGAGTCTTTAATTAAACGTCTGCAATTGATAGCAAGACCGTTACTCATGAAAACGAGGTTACCCACTTCTGTTTGGGGTCACGCCATTTTGCATGCAGCAATGCTAGTTCGTCTCAGACCGACAAATTATCATAAATATTCCCCGTTGCAATTAGTTTTGGGTCATGAACCTAATATATCCCATTTAAGAATTTTTGGATGCGCAGTATATGTGCCTGTAGCACCGCCATATCGCACCAAAATGGGTCCCCAAAGAAGGTTAGAAATATACGTTGGGTTTGAATCGCCCTCCATTATTCGCTATCTTGAAACATTAACGGGGGATTTATTCACTGCTCGATTTGCAGATTGTCGATTCGATGAGACACTTTTTCCAAAATTAGGGGGAGAAGTTGGTGAAACCAAACGGGAAATTTTGTGGAAAAATCCATCATTATCTCATCTTGATCCACGCGCCTCAATTTGTGAAAAAGAGGTGCAAAAGATTATTCATTTGCAGAGAATAGCAAATCAAATGCCAGATGCATTTACGGATATGAAAAGGATAACAAAATCACATATCCCTGCGGAGAATGTTCCAATCCGTATTGATGTCCCTATTGGACAATCTTCTAGTGTCATAGCTAATGAGTCAAAAGCACGCCTTAAACGTGGCAGACCATTAGGTTCCAAAGATCGAAATCCTAGAAAAAGGAAAACAAATGATCAAAATGACACTACGAAAGAATCTCATGAAGAAATCCACAATTTAATAAATTCTGAGATTCATGAGGAATCCACTGAGCCCGAGACTCAAGAAAATGAGGAACTATCAATAAATCCAATCGATATTGAGACAATTTTGAATCGAGTGGATATAGTGGTGGATTGTGTCTTTGCATATAATGTTGCATCTAGAATTATGCAAGAAAGTGAGGATCTTGAACCCCAGTTTGTTGGAGAAGTCGACAAAGACGTGATTGGCCAAAATGGCAAGAAGCAATCCAATCAGAGTTAAACGCACTTGCGAAACGTGAAGTTTTTGGGCATGTAGTCCAAACACCTAATGGTGTTAAGCCTGTTGGCTATAAATGGGTCTTTGTACGCAAGAGAAATGAGAAAAACGAGGTACAAAGATATAAGGCACGCCTTGTTGCACAAGGATTTTCACAAAGGCCTGGTGTAGATTATGAAGAGACATATTCACCCGTTATTGATGCTATAACGTTCCGTTATCTCAATAGTTTTGCTGTCCAATGAAAAGCTTGACATGCATTTAATGGATGTGGTTACCGCCTACCTTTATGGCTCACTTGATAATGAGATATACATGAAAATTCCCGATGGATTTAAAATGCCAAACGCACATAATTCAAAGTCCCGGGAAATGTTTTCAATCAAATTGCAAAGATCTTTGTATGGTCTAAAGCAATCAGGACGAATGTGGTATAATCCTCTTAGTGAGTATTTATTAAAGGAAGGCTATATAAATGATGCCATTTGCCCATGTGTTTTTATAAAGAAAACAACATCGGAATTTGTTGTACTTGCCGTATATGTTGATGACATAAACCTTATTGGAATTCCTATAGAACTCCAAAAGGCAATTGATTATTTAAAGAAGGAATTAGAGATGAAAGATCTCGGAAAGACAAAATTATGTCTTGGTTCGCAAATTGAACATTTGGCAAACGAAATTTTTGTTCATCAATCTACCTACATAGAAAAGGTAATGAAACGGTTTTACATGGATGGAGCACATCCATTAAGTACTCCGATGGTTGTTCGATCACTTGATGTGAATAAGGATCCATTCCGACCTCAAGAAGAGAATGAAGAGCTACTTGGTCCTGAAGTACCATATCTTAGTGCAATTGGTGCACTAATGTATCTTGCCAATACTACAAGGCCTGACATAACTTTTTCAGTTAATGTCTTAGCAAGATATAGCTCTGCTCCCACAAGGAGACATTGGAATGGAATCAAACACATATTGCGGTATCTAAAGGGACTGCCGATATGGGCTTATTTTATGGCAACAATTGCAGTCCCGATCTTGTTGGTTATGCTGATGCTGGGTATTTATCTGACCCACACAAGGCTCGGTCTCAAACAGGTTATGTATTTACCTGTGGAGGCACTGCCATATCTTGGCGATCGACTAAGCAATCAATTGTGGCTACTTCATCTAATCATGCTGAGATAATTGCTATTCATGAAGCAAGTCGAGAATGTGTGTGGTTGAGGTCTATAATACATCTTATTCGAGACAAATGTGGTTTGAAATGTGACAAGTTACCCATAATTTTGTATGAAGATAATGCAGCATGCATAGCTCAATTGAAGGGAGGATTCATAAAAGGAGATAGGACAAAACACATTTCACCAAAGTTATTTTTCACACATGATCTTCAAACGAATGGTGATTTTAATGTGCAACAGATTCGTTCAAGTGATAATATGGCTGATTTGTTCACAAAATCTCTACCAACGTCAACCTTCAAGAAGCTAGTGTACAAGATCGAGATGCGAAGGCTCAAGGATGTGAATTGACGCTCTCATCAGGGGGAGTTAATGCGCGTTACACTCTTTTTCCCTTACAAGGTTTTGTCCCACTGGGTTTTCCTTGCAAGGTTTTTAACGAGGCAACCAATAGGCGCATTTCTAAACATGTGTACTCTTTTTCCTTTTCTAGAAATTTTTTTCCCATTGGGTTTTCTTTTAGTTAAGGTTTTAACGAGGCACATTATCTGTTGAATAGACATTCAGGGGGAGTGTTATAAATAGATTTCTATTTATGGTGAATGTCCATATTTAGAGAGATTCTAGGGTTTATTACTTCGTGGCTAAGTCAACATCTCCCTATAAATAGAGGGTTCTATTTCATTGTAAATCATCCCAAAAATTCAATAAGAATTCTCTCTCTCTTTCTCTGCAATATTGCTCTTCTTCTTTTATTGTTTTATAACATTATCCATAATAAGTGAAGTTACTATTCCTTCTATCCCATATCAAGTACTATCATTTTAGTACAAAAAATATTTCAAAATATTCGCCGCTTTAGAAAATCAAGACGAACTGATTTTTTTTCAAAAGTGATTAATAGCTTACTTGCCAACTAATTTGAGTAATAAAATGAGATAGGATATAAGAAATAAAAAGTACAATAAGTTATCTGTTAATAAGTTAAACTATAGTCCTAGTGTAAATTATATATACTTTTATTATGTCAACGTAAATTCAGTTTATAATACTCTCCTAATTCAGAGATCCCAATGTTAATTAGGTTATTTCCATTGGCCTTCTAAGCTGCTTACACTAACATAGTAAGAAGCATCCTTCCAATTAATCTTAGAAACCTCCATTCTCTAAACTACTATTATCCCGTTACCTTAAGTCAACCTTCCAATAACCTAACTTTGTTACCACTTTCTTTCCTTTGTCTCTATCCCTTGCTGTTGGGTCAACCAACCACGTTATTAACATTAATTTTATGTCCCCTCTTCTCTTCTCTCTCTTCATTTCATTCTTCTTTATATCTATATGTCACCTCCTTTCCTCAAGCACTCACTCCATTTCACAAAGCTAAACAAAGAACCAAGTTTTGAGAAGAAAAATATGGAAGAATTAGATACCTTTTATCCACCAGATTCTGATCTTGATCTAAGTTTCACAAGTTGTGCTTCCATTACAACTACCACAACTGATCGTACCCTTAGTGCAAGAAGCAGTTTGGCTCGTAGCAGCCTTACACTCAGCTTCAACGACCGTCTTTCCTCTACATCTTCTACAAATAATCCCTCCACCGAAATCCCCAATCTCCACCGCCGTCCCCACCGCAAGCACGATCCTAATTGGTCTGCCATTAAGGCGGCCACCACCCTTTCCTCTGACGGCGCTCTTCATCTCCGCCACCTTAAACTCCACCGCCTTGTGGGGTCCGGAAACCTCGGCCGCGTTTTCCTCTGCCGCCTCCGTGACTATGATCACGCTAACTTTGCTCTTAAGGTCATTGACCGGGATTCCCTTACATCTAAAAAACTCTCTCATGTTCAAACAGAGGCTGAGATCCTCTCCTCGCTAGACCACCCTTTTCTCCCTACACTCTACGCTCATTTAGAAGTCTCTCATTACACTTGCTTGCTTATTGATTTCTGCCCTAATGGTGATCTCCATTCCTTGCTCCGCAAGCAACCTGGTAACCGGCTACCCGTTGAATCTGTCAGATTCTACGCGGCTGAGGTACTCATAGCATTAGAATATCTACATTCGCTTGGAATAGTGTATCGTGATCTAAAGCCCGAAAATATTCTAATACGCGAAGATGGTCACATTATGCTCTCCGACTTCGACTTGTGTTTCAAATCCGATGTTTCACCGAAACTAGATTTCACCACCCGCACTCTAGAAAGATCTAAAAGAAGATACAGTTGTTTCAGTGACCGGCTACGGGAAGAAACGGTCACCGAGTTCGTGGCCGAGCCAACAGGTGCATTTTCCAGATCATGCGTTGGGACCCACGAGTACTTAGCGCCGGAGCTCATCAGCGGAGCCGGCCACGGTAACGGTGTGGACTGGTGGGCGTTTGGCGTGTTACTGTACGAGTTGTTGTATGGAACGACACCGTTTAAGGGGAACAGTAAAGAGTCCACCCTGCGCAATATAGCATCCAGCAAAGGAGTGAAGTTTAACGTAGAAGAAACTCAAGGAAATGAGCCTTCAGGAATGGGAGAAGCAAGGGACTTGATTGAGAGATTATTAGTGAAGGATCCAAGGAGGAGGCTAGGATGCGCCAGGGGTGCAACGGATATTAAACGTCACCCATTCTTCGCCGGAATAAAATGGCCGTTGATCAGAACTTACCGGCCGCCGGAGGTACGTGGGCTAAGTATAAAGAGGACCAAGAGTAAGTTGCACGTGAGTCACGTGACTGGAGTAACATCATCATCATCATCATCCCCAAGAAGAAAGCGTTGTTGGTGGAAAAGGCTGGGGTATCTAATGAGGATTAAGGGATCTAAGTACAATTTAAATTCTAATCATAATTATTATTGTTATACTAATCAGAAGGTTAGAAAATGTGCTTAAATCCATTTCAGCCTTTGTAACCATTTATATTGTCTTTTTTCCCCTTACATTTTTTGTACAAGTTTGTAAAGGAAGAGTTAGGGAACATATATCAATTTTGGGAATCTGTTTAATTTTACTTTTTCATTCTTGCTTTGTTTCCTCTTTGAGGAAAATTTAATACATATTTGTATATGATAAAGAAAGTAATGGAAGAAAAGTATTTTCACTAATTCTGTATCATTGGCTTCTATGCTTTTTTAGTAGTGACTTTGTTTGTTTTGTTATATGCTTTATCGCTTAACCTAACTCAAAAAATGTGAGTTCAATTTTCAGTGCTCCTTGGAATTCTATTACCATTATCTACCTCAATCTAATACTTAGATTTTTTTATCCCAATTGCTTTTCTTCGTATGCCTCACCAATTTTAAGGATGAGCTTGTATCTGATATTTTAAGAAATTATTTTGTCCCATTTCTTAAAAATTCTAACTCCCGTTAATGAGATTAATATGATGATTAAATAGTCTCTGGTATTATTGATCAAAATTTTATCGCTTTGTGTGTTAGAACTTACCGTTGCTTGAAAATATTAATATACCATATTAACATTGAGCGAATTCTTAGTCTTACTGAGTTCTAGTGTTAATGCTGATATATAGATCTCTAATATTACTACAATGTGTAATTTACGTAAATTAATTAAATTTTAATAATGCATAACCGAAATGAAGAGAGAAACTAGTGATTAACTGTTGAAATAATTGGCGGGGCACCAAACAAATTATTATTCTTGATGTATGAGAAAAGGTTAAATTAAACATGAACATATGTTGGCATGTGGGAGCAATATGGTATGGTACCACGAATTATGCAAATGGCAAATGGGTTCCAAGGTTTTGACTTATAACTAGTCGGCAATAATATAATTAAAAACCAAAACTTAAGTGGAGGGAGATTGGGAAAGGACCAGCTTAATACTATTAACATATTGAGGACTACTAAGTTAATAATGGATATAAACCTAATTCCAGAAGGTCTTAAATTATAAACCTATTTTAACATTAACAAAGTTGCAAATACAGCTCAACATCTACCGACCAAAAGGAATTCTGCACAATTAAGTTACACGTCGCAAGACTAGTCTCAATGATGCTTTACTTGAAAGGAACTTTTGTCATAAATGTTACTTAAGATATGGTCAAAATTACTGAGTATTGAATCCATACTATCTGACAAAATATGTTAACCACGAACGCCGAATCTGACAATAGGAGCTTCCAGAAACAACCAGCTGATTGGTAACTTAAGAACTGGATACAAATTAGGCAGTTAATGTGCTGAGTAGGGGTATCAAATGAGCGGGTTGAGTTGATTCTGGGCAAGTTAAAATGGGCGGTGTCAATAAATGAACGAGTCATTGACCTGTATAAAAGTTACTTGGGAGGAAATGTGCTGGGTCAAGATAGGCTAAAATTTGGGTCATAGTCCAATCTGCCCAACTCTTACCAAACCTTAATTAATATGTATTGTTTTCTTATAGATTGTTTAATTCTCAAATAAGATTTTTTTTCATCTATAAAAAAAATTATTTTTAAGATATTAATAGCAAATTTACTTATGGATCATTTCAGGCTAAAAATTAGACTGATTGTAGATGGGCTGAGATTAGGGGTCTCGGGTGGACTGGGCGGATGATTACGCTTAACGGTTCGGCTTATCGGATTATAAATGTAATAATCCACTGCTATCCAATAAGACAACTGACGGATTGGTATCGGATTAACGATTATTGGGCGGTTTATCGGCTAAACCAAATAGAACTTTTTTGAATAATCAATACCAAACAGCCAAATACATAGTTCAAATAGAATTGGTATTGGTAATTAATTTTTGAACAATCAATACCATTAGCATTGGTATCCACAAAACAAATAGAAAATCCCACTTATAGACAAACTTCAAACTCTAATTGTAAGTAAAGTAATGAAACAAACCCCACTTAAGTAAAATGGCCCAGAGAGGAATTCAATTCATGTCCACTCATAATTCATGAGAAGCCAGAGACGACTGTCATTAGCTATAGACAATTCTATCATTCTATGTACAACTACTTATGCAACAATATAGTAACAAGTTTATATACATAGGGAAAAAAGTGTAAATATAAAAAAAATTAACGGGTTAATGGTTTACCCGATAAGAAAATTGAGTAATCCGCCCCCAAACCATTAAGCCGTTAATTATAAAATCTCAATGCGTTCACCATCCATTACCCGATAATCCGATACCAGTAAGCCAATAAGCCATTGCTGCAAGAGGCCGTTTTCACAGCTCGAACCCGTGACCTCCTGGTCACATGGCAGCAACTTTACCAGTTACGCCAAGGCTCCCCTTCCGTTTCAAGACATTATAAGAATTTTTTTATGTATATAAGTATATAGATATTGAATTTCTTTGACTTTGTTGTATGTTTGCTTTTTTATTTTTTGAATACCCTTAGTGAAAATTTTAAATTCGCCACTGCATTGCTTTCAACTTATGAAATTAATTTTCAAATGCTAGATTTAACATTCAACATTAGATATTCCAACTTATTAGTTGATGGTGCTCTTCAATTCTCTGAAAAAATAATTATAATTAGTACTATACACAGAATTCACTGTCGCTTCTTGCCTAGCAATTAACTAGCGCAACTTCCTTTTCTCAAAGAAAAAAAATCCCATAGGTGTTTACTTAATATTTTCACAATACAATTGTGTCTTTGTGGGTCTTTGTTGTCTGGAAACCAAAAGGATTTTAAAGAAAATCATTTTTAGCGTTCTTATATCTGTGCTCAATAATTATAAACTATTTATTTTTCTCACTCGAAATCATTGACAAGATACTTCGAAGGGTGGTAAATACAAATGTGTGATGGATGGTTTTGCGCAAGAGTCGTAATATATTATTTTTTGACTTTTAAGTTTAAAACTCTAAAAGATCAATGTCCATTCTATCACCTCTTTAACTGTAAATAATTGATGGTACTAGACTTTCCTTCGGTAGTTATGAAAATATAATTTCTTGAATCCGTAAGCTCCCATCAATACAACAACAACAACAACCCAGTGTAGTCCCATAAGTGGGCTCTAAGGAGAGTAGTGTGTACGCAGACCTTACCTCTACCCCGATCGGGTAGAGAGGCCATTTCCGAAAGACCCTCGGCTCAAGAAGATGAAAAGACAAAAAGAGACAATATATCAGTACCATCATAGAAATAATAACAACAACACAAGAACCGGTGAATATATGAAAGGCAAAAATAATGACCAGTAAATAAGGCTCGACACTATGAAGATGGAAGAGTAGTGTAAACACAACACTGACCACTAGCAGTCTAAGACGAAATCCTATCAGCCTAGCCTCACACTGGTAGACTAAATATGCTCAACTACCTCCTAACCCACAACCTTAATGCTCGACCTCCACAACTTCCTATTGAGTGCCATGTCCTCGGAGATCTGAAGTCTCGCCATATCCCGCCTGATCACCTCTCCCCAATACTTCTTAGGCCGCCCTCTACCTCTCCTCGTACCCACCAACGCCAACCGCTCGCACCTCCTTACCGGGGCATCCAAGCTCCTTCTCTGAACGTGCCCGAACCATCTGAGTCTCGCTTCCCGCATCTTGTCATCAATAGGAGCCACGCCCACCTTCTCTCGAATATCTTCATTCCTAATCTTATCCATCTTAGTGTGCCCGCACATCCACCTCAACATCCTCATTTCTGCTACTTTCATCTTCTGGGTAAGTGAATTCTTAACTGGCCAACACTCAGCCCCATACAACATGGCCGACCTAACCACCGCCCTATAAAACTTACCTTTGAGTAGCGGAGGCACTCTCTCGTCACACAGGACTCCAGATGCTAACCTCTATTTCATCCACCCCACCCCTATACGGTGTGTGACATCCTCGTCGATCTCCCCATCCCCATGAATAACTGACCCAAGGTACTTGAAACTGCCTCTCTTGGAAATGACCTGCGATCCAAGCCTTACGTCCATGCCCGCTTCCCTCGGCTCGGCACTGAACTTGCACTCAAGAACTCCGTCTTCGTCCTGCTCAACCTGAAACCCTTTGACTCAAGGGCCTGTCTCCAAACCTCCAGCCTCTCGTTAACGCCACTCCGCGTCTCGTCAATCAGAACAATGTCATCAGCGAATAACATACACCTCGGATTAAATATGGGGAAATATAGCTCTTAGCAATTCTTATCTAAGACGCCGTGGTTTAATTTAAGTTTCTTAAAATTAAATAAAACTTGGAAGATGTAGGTGCTCTTCAAATATTAGAATAAAATACCTTAGCATTCATTTCAAGAATCCGTAATCTAAAAATAACATAGAAAAAAAATCATAAAATGAACGTTAACTCGTAAAAATAAAAAGAAGTCGAACATGTGAATAAATCTAATCATCTAACTTAAAACATAGGTAATAATCCGAGTAACTTCGATCACTATAAGCTCTGCAGGAAGCATCTATATAGTTGACGAAGAACATGTGTACCATTCTCAACATCTTTTGTACGTTTAAAATCTGGCTATGCTGTTCGAACATGCATTTGATTTTTAAACCTTATTTTTTTAAGTAGAGAGAAATGAGATGCAGCAGGAGTGGAGAAATTAAGCTCAACAAGCCATGGTGGGCTTGTAGTAATATTTGAGTAATTTTCATAAACCACATAGCTTAGAGCTTAGTAACTATAGTTTGCTTAATTACTATTCATAGATTGTTACTAACTTGTATCACTTGTATTCAACGCAATGAATATAGCCTGTGTCAACTGTATCGCTCACGCAACGAATACAACGTGTATCAATTGTATTCGTTCGGACAATTGTATTCATTAGTGCAACGAATACAATATGTATCAACTGTAACCAACGCGAAATGCAAGGGTTTTATACAAAGAATACATTGTATCGACTGTGTACAAAAGTGTATACGAAAGGATACAATGTGTATCGAGTGTATTTGTTCGCGCAACGAATACAACTAAGGCGGAATACAGAAATACAGAAAAATAAAATATTCTTGTAGAGCGGCGAACTCAAGGCCTCCGCTAACTAAGCGAGCGCACTAACTAACTGAGCTACAAGAGCTTAGTGCTCTCTTGTTTCAGTTCAAAACAATTAATCTCTTATTTTATGGATTTGCTATAAAATTCAAACATAGCTACAAATGGTAAATTTGC